AAAAATTTTAAGTTGGATTTCAGCTTTTCTTTCGAACAGAACTTTTAGAGTCAAAATTAACAATACGTTATCTGAACCTAGAAATATTAAATCAGGTGTACCTCAAGGATCAGTTTTAGGCCCGTTATTATTTTTGATTTATATTAATGATTTACCTGATATAATCCCAAAAGGTGTAAAAATTAAACTTTTTGCCGATGATGTTAAAGTATATGTTATACATAAAACTAAAAATGAAAGAAGAATGCTTATTAATGCTATTGAAAATATTGAACAGTGGACAACCAAATGGAAATTAAATATAGCTATAAATAAAACATATATAATTTATCTTGGTAAAAATAACCCGAAAGATCAATATAAGATTTTTGATACAACTATAAATGAGGTTGATTCAATACGAGATCTAGGCATCATAATAGATAATAAGCTTAAATTTAAGGAACATATACAAAAAATTATCAGAATAGCGTATATAAAAATGAATTTCGTGTTTAAAATAATTAAGTCAAAATCTACTAAAACTTGGCTTACTATCTATAAAAGTTACATAAGACCTTTGCTAGAGTATTCTCCTGAAACTTGGAATCCACAACAAAGATCTGAAGTTAACAAAATTGAAAAATGCCAGAAATTCTTTACAAAAGTCCTTCTTAGAAAATGCTCACTGCCTTATATACCATACTTACAAAGATTAGAATTTCTTAATCTTCCATCCTTGGAAAACCGTCGTAAGACTTATGATCTAGTCTTAGCTCATAAAATTTTACATGGATATACACATCTGGAATCCGACAATCTTTTTAAAATATCAAATAGAAAAAAATGTTACCTATTATCTAAAAATCAAAATTCTAAATCATCTAACTCATTTGTTAATAGGGTAACTAAGATGTGGAACGTTTTAAATGATGAAATTAGAACTACAAAAATAACCCCTAGTTTTAAAAATAAAGTAAAAGAAATACTTATTCAATAGATCTAAACAAATCTGTTTTTATTGGTATAATCTAAAAAAAATTTTTTTTTTTCTTTTCTATGTTTTTTTTCTTTCTCTCTCACATTCTCGGTTTTTAACTATATTTAAATGACTACTATTTTGCATATTTGAATAAGGAAATTTCAAATTAATAAATAAATTTTATTGTTTGGCATTATGTTCAAAAATACATCTAAATGACAATTTATCCTATTGTTTCTTACTCAACTATACTATTTTTCCTTTGATGACTCATTAAATTAAAAACATAGTTTTTCATTTCTCTTAATTTTTATTTTTGCCCTTTTATCTCTTTTAAATCAATTTTTCATTTTTAAGGACTTTTGAAAAATTTAAAACAATTGGGTAATATTGTTTGACTAAAATGTCTAAGCGCAATTCTTCTGAATTTTCTCCATTAAATTTTGCAGCAAACATGACAAACAACGAAAAACGCAGCAAAATTGTAGAGGAAATTATTTTTTTTTAAATTTTGACAATTTAAGATAATTAAATCAGTACACTTTCCTCTAGCTTCATAAATTTAAAGCATCCTATTTAGTTAAAATGGTCGGTATGGAGTATATTTATTTAAAGAATAAATCAATTATAATATTAAATTTGTGTTTTTTTTTTAATTTATTATGACTTTATATGCTGTTTCTTATTTTATTATTTTTATTGTGCCACGCTACGACATTGTTGTCGAATTAAGTGGCACGCCCTTTCGATGACATTTTTTTTTTATGTTGATAAATCTATAAAAAAAATTTTGATTTCCGAGTTCCGACTTTTGAGCCTTTTCCGATTTCCGACAGTTCCGAGTTCCGACACCTCTGACTGTTCCGACCCACCTCTGCCTCCTAGGAAAGACTTTATCTTCTCTTAAAAATAATGCCGCCAAAATTGGAAAGGGCTAAAGATAAAAGAAAAATTAAGAAATCATGTAAGGGCAGTCTATTTTAACAAACAAGTGACACTCGGGAAATTTTGAAATATAAAGAAATAAAAGACCCCGCTAAACATATGAGAAAGGGCGGCATATAAATAAGTGTAAGGCGGGATTAATCAAAAGAAAAAAAAATTGTGAAATCAAACTTATTGACAAATAAGGATAGATTTGCATTTATTATACTTAATTTACATTTTATTTATTTTTTAATTTTTATTTATTTATTTATTTATTTATTTAATTTTAATAATTTTTTATAAAATAATTCGGTATAGAGTAGGGCCTCGTCTTAAAGCTAAAAAATTATACACTAAAATGAGGGGTAAACAGTTGGGGGCTATTTCAATCCCCAGTTAAGGGATTTTTCAATCTACAGTGTATTAAGAAATTATAACTACACCTGGTTTTTTAACGTCTATCTCTTATCTTTCAGTTTCCAATTACCGTATATACTTTTTAATTACCCTCCCTCAAATAATTACCCTGTCTCTATCAATTACCCTCTCCAGTGAGATGTCGAAACAATAATTACCCAGGGTAATTGAGTATATACGGTAATCTGAAATTTTCTAGGTGATTCTAGACTTTTTATAGGGGCTTTTTTAATTTTGAACACTAATCCAAAAAAAAATCTAAAAAAATATTTCACTCGATCGGTGGTTTTATCGGGTTTTTCTCTCAAAAATAGGGTTTAAGATATTATAACTCCACTTGAAAACATTAAAATTAGTAGTAACCAACAAATGGGGGTATTGCAAAAGCAGCTCCTTCCATCTAAGGACCAACCAAATTTTATAAATCTGAGAGAGTTTGGGGGTCTAAAATCGAGTTCAGGCTGTATATTTTTTAATTATTTTTTAGAAAATGTATTTTAAATTAATTATTTACATATTCTTTTCTTCTTTGCTGGGGTTTCCATTATTTTCAATTTCTAAAGAATTTAAAGCTGATACAAAAGGAATTGACAATAGCACCTTTCTTCGGTATAAAAGAAGTTCTAATTACAGCACGTTGAGAGGATTTGAGGAAAAAGCTGATGAAGAATTCTCTCACTTCAAGGAAAAGGGTGAAAAAAGTTCTGGAAAAGGTTCTGATAATAATTATAAACGCCGTCCTGGAAAGGAAGAAATGGAAGAAAAAAATGTTAAAAATTCAAAAAAAGTTTTGTACATTTGCGAAGACGGTCTACTCTCGCCCTATTATTTCCACGTAATTATTTTAAGATGTTTATTATATTATTAAGAACCAAATATTATTAAGAGTCTAATTTTGGGATTTTCACATTTTTCTTACTATATGCTCTATAAATAGGTTATTATTACGGCTCCACAAAATATGCACCAAAATCGCCATATATGCGCATACATATATGCACCGAAAAAGCCCAAAATATGCACAGAAATATGCATTAATATGCATTAAGAACCGGGTAAGTACTCGGACCTTGTAAAAACACCATATTTGTGCTTCCCTCGCAAGGCATACAGTATTTTCTCGATTAATTCCCCTCCCTCGAATAATTCCCCATGCTAGAGTTGGGTTTAAACAAAAATTCCCCACCCCCAAATACCCTACTGCACGTTCAAATGCCATAACTCGAATAATTCCCTTCCCTCGATGCAATGCCAAGGAAGGGCTGAAAATGCCAAGGAAGGGCTGAAAAAATAATTCCTCATGGGAATTAATCGAGAAATACGGTATCCGCACACAAAACATGCATTTGCATGTTGTGCGAAGCCCTAGTTATTATAGAGCATATTGCACTAATACATTTATGCCAGAGACACTCATGATTATTTATATTGAATCTTAACTCGATAAACTTTTCTTAGATAATTTTTCTTGATTTTTTATAATTAAATTACAGAAAAATTTGGCAAGAATATTGTCAGAAAAATATATAGTGGTATGTTGAAATTATTTATTTTTTAAATATGTGGAGCATTTACAGGATTTGCTTGTTTATAGTAAAGAAAGGGGACACAAAATTTATTCAGAAAATTTACAAATTATTAATATACCGGTTACTAGTAAATTATTCAAACAAACTACACTTGTACATAGTGGTTTTCTTCAAGCTTATAATGAATATCATAATTCCGACATATTTTATTTTCTTGGAATTTATACATGTAAGAAGTATATCTTACTTATCTCGATATTAGATTTTTATAACTAGAGTTGCGCCCCGATCCCGTTCCCCATATCCTGACCCCGTTTCTGGAAGATTTTTTAAAGATTTTCCACGATTCGAACCCAGACCCGAAACAATTCGAAAACCCCGTCCCCCGACCCGAAAAAGTTTCGAAGTTTTATGGGTATACGCCCCAAAAATGTTAATTTTTAGGTGAATTTTAAGAAAAAAATCAGAAAACTTCCTAACACTTTACTTTTCCATTATTATTTTTGAAAGAAAAATGAGCCCTTAAATCCTTTCATATCCTTTCAATCTATTCAGATACCAATCCTTCAATATACTTATAAATCATGATTTCCCTTGAAACCACCCCTACTCTGTTTGAATCCACCTATATCCCCAGATCTACTATTTAATACTTTCAAATGACCTTTAATCACTCTAAATTCACTTATATTCACAGATTTACCATTTAATCCCTTCAAATCATCTTTGATTCCTCCAAATTCTCCCTAATTTTTGAATGAACTAACGAAAATTCGTAGTCCAAAGGCACATTATTTTTGGATTTTTTCTAAAAATTCAACATTTAAACACCGTTCCCCGACCCCCCCCCCATATTTTGCTCCCCGACCCCGCCCGAAACAATTCGAAACCCCTGTACCCCGACACAACCGCCGCCGTCCGTTCGGAGCCCAACGGTCGGCGGCGACCGTTGGGCCCCGAACGGGGTACGTATAACTGTCGGGGTACGTATAACTGGGAATGTCGGAAATCTTGAAGACTTGATTCGATGTAGGATTTAATTTTATAAATTTTTATTTAAAGAAATTTTAATGAATACAAAAATCGAAATTGGAGGTATTCATTTTGGTATTCTTAAATGGCTTAAAGAACAAAAATATTCTTTTGGAATTGCCGAGTTTGAGTCAATGGCAGGCTCTTTTGCTGTTTTTGAAGCTTTAGGAATTAAAAATACTTTTGATGTTTCTTCTAATGTATTTTACCCAATGTATCTTCAATTTCTTGATTTTGGAGGAAAGCCTCTTGATGTTACTAAAGTACCAGGTCAGAATAATAAGAATAAATGTCTTAGGAAGTATCAGATTTAGAAGCTCAATAATGTACTTAATTTGTAATTTTCTTTGTGGAATTATTTTAGTTTTGGTCTTGTATTGAGAACAAAGACCGTCTAATCATTCTATCGAACTACGTCAAAACGTTGTTCCGGCGAAATTTTAACTGTTCATAGTCTTGTCCATATTGATAATTGCAGTTGACTAACTCGTCTTCAACCTGAAAGAATTTTCCAGTCTCTATTACCTAGTGTTGCGCCGGAACCGTAAATTTGGCAGGAACCGGAACTGAAATTTTGACCGGATCCGGAACTAGATCTAATTTTTTCGTTCCGGACCGGAATCGCAACCAAAAAATTCCGGAACTTTCGGCGCAACACTATTAGGACCCCATCCTTTCGGCGCAACACTATTAGGATTGAATAGGAAATGCCCTGCTGCATTAGGTTCTCAAATTCGGAATATTAATTCAGATTACTTCAATTTTCATTAGGTGAAACAGCTGAGCCTGGTGATTGGAAAGAAGGATCAACAGTTTTTCAAGAAAATAGTAATCTTTGTAATTTAAACATTGAAAACAATAAGAAATTGAATTATTGCAAAAAAATACATTTAAACGATATAAGTAAAATCTCCTACGACAATTTATATAATAAATTTACAATTTCTGGAAAACAACCTTCACTTATGGAGGTTTTGTACAAAAAAATTAAAATACATTTTGTCAATCAACACCCTCTTGGAATATTTAAAACATTTCTAGAACATGAAAAAATTGTTTATATTGGGGGTATTCATGTAGAGGAAAAGAAAATTTTGATGGAAAAAGTTAAGAAGGAAAATAACAAAAAGGTAATTCAAACAATGTTTAAATTTCATGTCATGGGGCTTCAATAAATTCTAGCCTCGAGGATTTTTTCTTTGGACTCCTAACCTTCTGTATTTTTCGTTGACAAAAATCTCTTTTTAAAAGTCCTCTATGTTCGCGCTGTATATGGTATAATTTTATATTTGATATACCGTATATCCTTTAATAACTACCCTGGGTAATTATTGTTTCGACCTTCCGCTGGAGGAAGTAATTAATCAAGGGAGGGTAATTATATGAGGTTTGAAATTTGAACTCGATTTAGGGCATTTGTTTTGGGGTAATTATTGTTTCAATCTATCACTGGATGGGGTAATTAATAGAAGTGGGGTAATTATTTGAGGGAGGGCAATTAATACAGGGTACATATGGATTATATCCCAACAAAAATAACATTACATCCAATACACTTTATTATCCTCTAAGTAATAGTAGGTGGTAGAGCAGATCTGAGAAAAATCGGATATCGAGTCCTTATATCCAATGTCGCTGTCTTTGGAATTTTATAAATTATCATCGATATCTTTCCTCTCTAATTAGCTATACTAACTTGCTTGCAATTAAGGACTAAATATCCTTAGCATTCAATTTTTCAAAATATTTTAAGCCTGAATGCGTTGTTCTAGTTTCGTTTGGAACTGTTAAACCCTCCGGAAAGTTGAATCCAGAAAATATTGAAGCAATGTTTGGCCTATTTCAACGAAATAAATCATGTGTATATATAGTCCGAATGATTAAATATCTTTTACCAAAAAATTATAACAAAAAGCAAATATATGTTACAGATAAAAATATTAACCAACAAAAGATATTATGTAAATAATTAGTTATAAATAAATTATAAAAAAATTTTTTAAGCCGAAAAGAATACAAAATTGTTTATTTCCCATTGTGGACAGCACAGTTTGATTGAGGTATTCAAATTAAATTTTTGTTTAAAAATATTTTTTGTAAGACTTGATTGATAAGTATGTAGTGATAGCACTATCAGCGTCAGTCAGATTTGATCATACTAGACCGGCTAGCTATTGATCCCTTTTTTTTTCTGACTCGCCCCCAATTCCGACCAGGAGTGAGCGCATTGCGTTTTGCGCTTCGTTAAACCCCTAGATCCCTCTAAATCCTCTGATATCCGTCATAATCGATCTAAATCTTCTATATCTCTCCAAAACATTACCCATCCAACTTAAATGTATCACAAAATCAATTAGGACTCGCTGACTTATAGTAGTAATATACCAATTTTTAACTGAAAAATGTCTAATACTTAATTAAAAAAATTTTTCCTAATTTTGCGTTCTTCGTTATTTGCGTTAAATTTTGGCCTTGCGTTGCGTCTTGCGTTTTTTGAGATTGTCTCTTGCGCTCACCCCTGATTCAGAATTTGTCTACTTTGTTGCTTTCTAAGTAGGATAAATTGTTATTCTTTTGCCCTACGATTCTGCCAATCTCGGACATACACCAAGACATAACAATAAATATTCTAAAGAGGTGATCAAGGGATAACGTCGTATTTGATACCTCAATTTATTATTTATTATCAGCCTTAAATTCCCTCAATTTTGTTAATTTAAAGGCAATGTATGCTGGTGTCCCTTTAATTTGTATTCCAAACTCGAATGATCAATTCTACAATTCTTCGATTGTTGAACATTTGGGTATTGGAATATATGTAAAAATGTTAGAAATTGAAGAAGGCAGAGATGACAATGACAAAAATTCAAAATTTGAATATGATTTTAAAGAAGCCTTCAATGACTTTTTTAGCCACGAGTAAGTTGGGAAAATTAAAAGACTGGCATAATTTTTATGTATAAATCAGAGTTTTATTGATTTCCGAGTTCCGACGTTAATTTCCTTACGATTTCCGAAATATTTGAAGCAATGTTCCGACTGAAGATTTTTCATGATTTTCTAAATTTCCGCCTGCATCGATGAAAAACTAAAAGAAATTGGTTTTAAGGCCTTCCAATCGTCTCAGAATTTTAACTGTTAAATTTTGATATTTTTAATTTTTACATTAAAGAGTATATTGTAGTTTATTTAATTTACAAATCTAATTATAAAATTAAGAAGGATTAGATGGGATATCGGTGGATTAGCATAAATTAAAGAGTATATTAAAGGATTTACGCCTACAGGGTCTGGGACCGTTTCTTACACTTTCCCTTGAAAATTCTGAAAGTTATAGCTAATTTTTAAATGCTTCAAAAAACGATTATAACTTAGAAATTTCGAGGGATAGTGTAAGCATTTAATAAAAGATTTTATTATTTATTTAGCAAATATTCAAAAGCTGCAGATAATTTGAGAGAGAAAATAATTTCAAATTATTACAATGGTCACAAAGCTAAAGACGTTTTTCTTGATAAAATTTCAAAAATTATTGGTGACTGAGTGAATGATTAAATGTTTTAGAGAATTGGGAGTAAATTAATTTGGATTTTTTTATTTTTGGGAAGAATTATTTTTTTTTAATTTATTTTTTTGGGATTTTAATTCTTTTTAGTAAAATATTGTTTTAAATTTATGAAAAAACTTTTTGTAAAATATTTTTTAATTTTAATTTCTAAATTAAAATTTTTGATTCGATAAGTGTTGATGAAAGAAAAAATACCATTTCACTCCAATTATTTAAATATTTTCTCTCTCCCATAATTCCTTAAGCACACGATTGTAAGGTTGGCGGTTCCAGTTATCCGGAACCGAAATAAGACCGCATAACCGAATTCTCGGTTCGTTATCGGTTCCGGTTCCGAATAGCCGAAGATTTCCCAGGAACCGCCAACCAGGAACCGCCAACCAAAGGACCGAGGATCACCGAGGCTGGAAAAGCCGAGATCGAGGTCGAGGGGCAAGTTTTGGCGGAGGTTCGAGGATAACTGAGGTTTTTAAAAAATTTTATAACACTTAAAAAATCTGATTAAATTTATTAACTTTTATCAAAAATACACTAGATCTTTATCAAATTCATTTTAATCTTATGAGATTCAGTAAGTAGCCCAAGCGTCAGTTTAGATGCGGGTCTTGGAAGGCTTCCGCCTTCCGTCTGACGCTTTTTTCTGTTCCTGGACGAGGTTCCGAGAGCTGAGGTCACAAAATCGAGGTCAAGGTTTGAAAATGTCAAAATTTCAAATTTAAGCACAGCAGCAATTTTTTAACTTCCCAATATTCTAAAGCACGATTAACATAAATTATTTTTGGATTTTCAGAAAGCCCTAAAAACCAAATTCTTCTATTTTTTATCGCCGTGGTGAAAATTTTAGATGTCAACGAGCCAGACTTTTTTGTTTATTGAGTATTTTAAGTGGATAAGTTGAAGATTCAAAACAGCAAAAGAGTTAATAATATTTTTTCCCAATTCTTTGAAAAATTTTAAAATCCCGGACCTTTGATCTTTTGGGTCTAGGAAACTCAATGGTGGGCAAATAAGGCAAGGCGGCATTTACTTTTACTATGAAATAACGTCATGTACTTAAATGGGATAAGGGGAGGAAAAGTTGCACTTTAGTTTATCCTTTCCCTTTAAATGTTATTTTTTGCCGCATGACGCAAAGCGGCATTTAGTTAAGCTAAAAGAATAGGCAAAGGAAAAATCGAATATATATTGAGTAAAGCGGCACTAAGAAAAGTGAAGTGCAAAATACAAAATTAAGAAATCGTCTATTAATATTGTTAAATTTTTTGATAGCCAAAAAATTGTTTTATAAACATCTCTTAAAGATAAAAAATAAAAAAAATTCTTAAATAATGTAAAGCATATAGCTAATTCCTAAGGCTGTACATTAGACGGTGTGGTGTAATGGATAACACAGCATTCCGGTCTACTGAAGATGCTAGTTCGCACCAAAGGTGGGTCGGAACAGTAGAGGTGTCGGAACTCGGAAGAGCCGGAAATCGTAACTGGCTCAAAAGTCGGAACTTGGAAATTGGAAATAAAAATTTTTTTCGGAAACTCCCAGCCGCTGAATAACCTTTAACACTAGCTAAAGGAGAGAGATAGCTATAGCCCAGCTGCTTTACATACTATAATTTTTCTAATAAAAAATTTCAAATAAAAATTTTTATAATTGCAGCATTCCTTCCAAATTAAAAAAATTTATTTTTAGAAAATGTTTAAATTAATTTATTTAATTTTATTTTTATTAATTTTTACAAAAATTTTATTTGGGGCAAGACGCTCTTTTGAAAGAGGAGAGATTTCCTCAATGACTCAAAATTCAAGGAAAAAA